TAGGTTGTTAAGGTTGCAAAGATGACTCTAGGAAAAATGGGAACTGACTTAGAGTTATAAGTGAGCTGAATGAACAAGAACTCAACCATTACAGTGCTAATAAAACAACTACAACAGTAGGAAGAGGAGAAGAACACCCCTGGCCTTCATTCCCCTGAGTGACTGTTTCCATTCTCCTGAGTGACACCTTGTCTGACTGGTAGTCTTTCTTTACAACAAATTTGGTAATTAGCTGTCCTCGTGGGATCGACCTAGCTTCCATTATCTACAAAACTCATAATCCAAGCTAGTAATATTTTTTTTTGGTGAACTCGGCACGCACCAAATAGTAGAGGCATTAATGGTGACTCTATAAAACATAGTCATAGTAGATTGTATAAGCATTATAAACCTTCTATTTTATTTTTAATGGAGACTAGGGAAAACATTAGTACTATGGAATCATAGCAACAGACCACCCCTTTTAAGAACTCTTTTGTAATTGATCCAATAGGATTTAGTGGTGGTTTGGCCTTATCATGGCTAGATGGAGTAAAGCTTACCATAATGCACCATACTCTAAATGTAGTAGTAGCTAGGGTCTGTGAACCCCCTGGAACTGAATGGTTAGGTGTTTTTCTGTATGGACTAACTTCTCGCCAAGGAAGAGCAGAAATTTGGTCACAACTTAACACCAACCTCAGCAACTTCCACTATTTAATGATAGTTCTAGGTGTTTTAATCAAGTTGTCAGTCAAGAAGACAAGACTGGTGGAAGACCGGTTACTAATCATGATACAAGGCCTATTCAACAATTCTTAAACCAGAATGATCCGAAAAAAACTCAACGGTATAGGTTGCTGGTGTACCTGGACTAACAAAAGGCTAAATCAAGATTCAATTTTGAAAGGCTTGACAGACCTTTTGTCAAGAGACAATGGCTAACTTGTTTCTCCTAGGTAGTCATTTGGAATCTGCCTATCATGATATAAGATCATGCTCCAATTTTGGTGCACATCAAAGGTAAGAAACAAAATACAAGAAAAAGACAGGTTTGAGCAATTTTGGTTCAAATACTCACAAGAAATTGTCCACCCTACAGATAACCAATCAGCAGAAAAAGATTTTCTACCAATTGAAGACCAGTCTTATCAGTCTCCACGATTGGAGCAGTGATCACTTTGGTAACCTTGACAAATTGGTAGCTAAACTTACAGCACAACTGTCACCCCTACAAATACAATGGGAATCCAACTCTCAAAGTCATCATCTTGGCTCTTGGCTTGAAGCCAAGAGACAGGAATTGGAAGAGGCCTTACAATGTCAGCATGACTATTGGCAACAAAGGTCTAAACTAATATGGCCTTTGCAGGGTGATTGAAATAAAAAAATTCTTCCACGCATGGGCAACACGAACGAGAGGAAACAAATAGATCAATGAGTTGTGTAATACATAAGGCCATTGGATCCAAGAAGCAGCTCAAATTGTAACATTACTACAAACTCACTTTGAAGGAATTTACAGTATGGATCCTACAACTTCACAACATTTCTCTCGTTTTCCTTTTATGGATCAACTCAAGCAAAATGTTCTAGAGACTCTCACACCTAGGCAAGTTGATTTGCTAGCTCAACCTTTCACTCCTTCGAAGTATGGGATGCTACAAAACAAATGTCCTCATGGAAAACTCCAGGGCCTGATGGTATGTCTACTGGGTTCTGCAAAATATAGAGGCATATAGTTGGTCAGGATGTTGAAATTACCATTTTGGATGCAATTAACTAACAATGCTTTGCAATGGAATGGAATCAAACCAGTACAGAGCTCATTCTAAAGGTTCCTAATCCATCTTCTCCCATAGATTTTCATCTTATAAGTTTTTGTAATGTTAAGTACAAATCATTACAAAAATGATCACCAACAGGATGAAATCAATTTTATCAGACCTAATTGACGAACATCAAAATGGATTTGTCCCGAGAAGAACATTAGTGAGAATATCCTCCTTGCACATGAAGTTATAGAATGCATCAAGAGAAAGGATGGTGACTTCAGGCTAGCTTCCGTAAAATTGGATATGAGCAAAACATATGATCGTGTCTCCTGGACTTTCCTTGAAGCAGTGGTCACAATAGCTGGTTTTCCAACTAACATGATCAAGCTAATTATGTTTTGTGTCTCCACAGTCCCATACTCTACTCAATTAAATGGAGAAGGACTCTCTTATTTCACCCCAAAGCGAGGGTTGAGACATGGCTGCCCCCTTTCCCCTTATTATTTTTATCTTATGCCAACATGTCTTATCTTCAGCAATCAGGATAGAGATTCACACATTTCTGGGACTTGAGATTAAATTAGCAGGTTTGTACCAAGAATTAGTCATTTAATGTATGCTGATGACAACCTCTTCTTTATTGAATGCAAAAAAACTTCAATTCAGGCACTTTCAGGTCTGATTGAGACATATGCTGTCTTTTCTGGACAAAAAATCAACTATCAAAAGTCTTCAATATTGATGAGTGACAGTACTTCTCTTGCTATGAAGAACCTCATTTATACCACCACCAGCATACCTGAAGGTTTGTTTTCAAAGCAAATATTTGGGTCTCTCTTTGGACTTCAAGGAAAACAAAAAAGTCATTTTCCAGGACTTCACAACCAGACTGAACAAGTTTGCAGACTTGAAGACAAAACTCCTCACCTTTGCTGGAAGAGTCACAATAACTAAATCCACATGATACTATGCTAGTTTATCCTATTGGGGTTTTTAAACTCCCGGCTTCTACTCTATGTAAAGCCGATAGCATCATTGGTAACTTCATTTGGCAAGGAGACAGGCAGGCTAAAGGGATTCATTGGCGGTCCTGGAAACAAAAGCAAATCAATGTTTCGTGGAGGGCGAGTGATCTCATTAGACCAAATGAACAATGGAAGATTTCCTTCCTCAGAACCAACTTTCTTGATTATATAATTCCATATATCACTGGAATTTTAATTGATCCTCGTGACCTGCATAGAATGATAGGCAAATTTGGTCGAATACCTCACATGGCAATTACAATCAAGGTAGCATACGACTCTGAACATAGAAATTGCAAATTTGAATCAATCTCACCCCCAGCAACAATAAGAAACAATGGTGTGGAAAAAGTTATGGAACTCCAGAGTAACAACCAAAACACAAATACGTCTTCTAGAGGGCTGCTCTTAATGCTCTGTCAACCAAAGAAGGTTTACGGAGGTGTGGTGTACAAGTAGATTCAGACCTAGATTTATTCCTCATATCTTTTAGAGAATTTGGCTAGAACGAAATGATAAAGTATGGCTTTTTCATAGTATGAATCCAGTCATGTCTTGGAGGCTTATTTAGCAAGAATTGAGGCAACACGAATTGGCAGCAAAATTAACAAAACCTCTTCAAGGTCGAGATTCTTATCACTCACTGCAAACGAGATCTACAGCCAATCATGCAACGATTGAGTTTGAAGGATCCTTCCATCCCATTTACCAGAAATGCAGCTTGAGTTTGGAGAATAACCTCTCCATCGGGATTATTAATGCATATTAAATCAGTCACAATCTCATCATTATCGCCCAGTCAAACGGAGGCAACAACTTGTCTCATGACCCTTTGGCATTTGATTTAAGGAATGTGATCATTCATACAAACTGTGAGACGTTAACAACAGATCACCACATGTCCTCTTTCGATACAGAGGCTGAGGAAGTTGTATTTCGGATACAACAATTAGTTTCTAAATTCCAATCGTGTATCCTAGTGAAAGTTAGTAAGCATGATATCCGGAAATTGCATAATTTAATCTATACAAAAATACTCCCTCCGTCCCACAAAAATAGTCCAGTTTAATAAAAAAGTTTGTTCCAAAAAAAATAATCCAGTTTCATAAAAGTCAAAATTAATTAAATTGAAATGACTTAAATATCCAAAAGAATAGTAGTAAGGAAAACAAAATCCACTTCTTTTTATTTTCATTATTTTTAGTTTTCTCTTATTTTTTCAAATGATTATATTTTTTAATACATGAATAATTAAAAAAAATGTGTTATATATCAAGTTAATCTACGTAACGAGATTTTCTATCAAGATTCATTGTCAATATTTTTTGAGATAAAAATTTTGATCAAATTTATGTTGTAAAATAAATGTATATGTAGTTAACTTTTATAGAAATAACTAGAAGGGACATTAGTGAAAGTTAGGGGTATGAAATGAGTTGTACATTTAGCGTATTAACCAAATTAAAAAAGTTATAAAATTTTAAATTAGACTATTTTTCTGTGACGGAGGGAGTAAATTACCTGTTTTTTTTTAAATAAAATCATGGACCTTTCTCGATAGTGAGTCCGCATAGGATTATTACTAGGTGTTAGACCCGTCTGATGGACGGGAAATGCATACACATTTAGACATTTTTATATAAATTTTCAAATATTTTTATAAAATATGTAATGATTTCAGTTTTAAACATGATTACCTCTGGGTTTACAGGAATTTATTTTTTTTAAATGACATTTTAAATTCACTGGTGACAAGATTTATGCATATCTCTCTAAAATTTGGTAGGATTTAGTACTTTCTCCAATCAATCTCTGTGTTAGGATTTGGTTCATGAAAATAAGGGTTCGGTTTTTATTATTTTATTTTTTAAAAAATTATTTTAGTTGCTTTTTTTTTGGTTTTGTTATTTTATTTTGTGCATTTTTAAGTCTAAGAAATTAAGAAAATGCCACATAGGATTAAATCCTATGTAGCATGTACACTATGCCTTTAGTTTTCTCTTTCTGGTTTTTGCGTTGGTATAGTATTAGTTTTTACTTTTTTGGGGTGTACCTGGCGATTTTTGCTTTCGTAAACTTGAGATGATCTCATGATCTCATCAGTTCACCAAAAAAAAAAGAAGTGCAAATTACTTTCTTTTAATTTCGGTGTTCTTATATTGCCCAGAAAGACCTTAAAATTCGAGAGTTAGATGAGTGTGTCCGCGTGAAGTTCCACATGATGGAAGATTTCCACAAGGCACTGAATGACAAGGGACTGACTGTTTCTAGCTCCCCAGAAAAGGGTCGGAGCCTCTTGACCACCAGAGACTTTTCTCCAGGTTAGCCCGCCATTTCTTTGGAGTTTGAAACATATAGAAACAAACAGAAAGACCTCATTTTTTCTGATTTGTTGTTGATGCGTAATTGTTTCAAACAATTCAACCTCGGGATCTGCTGAGTTGTTGTCTTTCTTTTACTAGTATTTGTTTTTGTGGAGTGCGTATAGTTATATCTTTGCATTTGGGCAGGGGAGGTTATTCTAAGCCAAGAGCCATATGTATCAGTACCTAACCGAAATTCAATTGATTCACGCCCCAAATGTGAGTGGTGTTTCTCCTCAAGTAATCTCAAGAAGTGCTCTGCTTGTAAAGTTGTCTGGTACTGTGGAAGAAGTTGCCAGGTGATGTTTTTATTGTTTTTTTGATCGCCAGTTTCTTGTTTATGTTGAAATTGTTGCAGATTCTGGGAAGTATCTCAAGAAGGAAGTTTTAAAGCAAATGTTGCAAGTATTAGTTGGCCATATTCCGGTGCAAAGGGGAAAATTAATTTTTAACTTTGGTTATAGGAGTGGTTGAATTTTGATATTTTCTGATGTGAGTTTTTTTACACGTTCAAAGTATTATCCGGAGGGAGTGTTCTGCAACAAACTGCAATATGGAACAAAATGGAATATGAACTATTTGGATATTTTGCGAATGAGTTGCATTGCCATTAAACGTTTCTCCATTATGCGGAGAACTTTCGGAACTTTTTTACCCAGTTTTTGCTTAGTAAATTTTCAGCTCTTTGCAAGTTTTTGTTGATACTTGTCAGTCTTTGCTGAGTGATTTTTTCATTAAGTAGCTCTGTGTTTCAGACTATGGACTGGAAATTGCATTCCCTTGAGTGCCAAGTACTATGTGAAGTTGACAAAAGCCGACTGACGTCACTTACACCTTCCATACGCTTAATGGTAAAACTCTTTCTTCGGAGAAAACTACAAAAGGAGAAGGTGAGAGAAAACTCGTTATTTTTATTCATTAGTTAGTTCCTATATGAGATAAAATGTAAAGCAGGCTGCACTAGCCTGACTATTGTTTATAGCTTGTGCAATGTGGTTATGTTTTATTTTCAAGATTTTGTTCATGCATAATAGTTGTAGGATTTGCCTGGATCTTCATATTAATGCTTTCAAGATTCTTTTCCATGAATTGCCGAATCGTAATGTGTTATTATTTTTTTATCTGTATCTATAGGGTATACTATCAACTTCCACAGACAACTACAATCTGGTGGAGGCTTTGGTCTCGCGTATCCTTATTTGTGTTGAACAGTTACTTACAATGTTAACTTCTTGGTTTTATATCTGTAGCTGGTTTCTTATATTCTGCTGTTCTGTATTTCGTTAACAAGTATACCAAGATATGTCTGACATCAATGAGGAGCAATTGGTGTCCTATGCGCAGATGGCTAACCTTGTCAATTTGATTCTGCAGTCAGAGCCCGATGTCAATATTAAGGAGATTGCAGTGAATTTTTCTAGGGTACTTTTCTGCTTATTTTGGTTATGAATATTGGGTTTACCTTTGAAATACGGGCTCTTCTTGGAGATTAAAAGTTTGGAATGATATTTTAAATAGTTTATTGTAATTCAAGACTGAAAATAGCTTCTGATTCCTGAGTTAAATGCAGTTATATGTTTTCTGGTTAAATTTCATATATGTTTGCCGCTGGTAGGATTAGAGCTGCTATGCTAAGTGATACAGTGAAAATTATAGCATATGTATCCATACTTGTGCAGGATTTCCTTACTTAAACCACCAACCAATCTGTCTATGAGCCTCAATTACATTATGTTTCATAGTTGTACAGCCTTAAAGAGTTGCACATTTGGTAGGCAAAGTGCAATTGCGTTAAATTTATGTTAATGATTTGCTGAATAAACAGAAAGTGGCCTTGTAAATGTGGGAAAAGCATTTACAAATTAGAGTGGAAGCTCTGTTTTTATGCATACTAGATAAGGATTCAGTCCTGGGAACATATTTGTTGTGTAAGCTCCTGAACAGAATTGATATAGCATTCTTGAATTGGGGGAGAAGTTAAGAGGCCAGTGTTACTTTATCTGCCACTAAAACGTTACACAAATTTAGCAACCGATTGCGGTAAAATTTGCTTGGTACACCGATTACAATGCTAGTTCTTAAAATTTGTTTGGTACACCTATCACAAAGCTTGTTCTTAGTCCCTTCTATCTAATTTCCTTGGGTTGGAAGTTTTTTACATACAAAATAGCCATTCTCGACACCCACTGGCAGGGTACGTATAAATTGGTATCTCCATCTCTTGGATAGGAAACTGTGGAACTTAATTGGTTCTTATGAATGATTTTCGATGATCTAAATACTTGTGGAATGCAGCAAAAGAAATTCCATCATTTTCCTGCAAAATAATTATGTTTTGTCTATTAACTCCCATTCTTTTATCCTTTTGAGTCAAATGCAGCTTGCTTGTAATGCGCACACTATATGTGATGCTGAGCTGAGACCAGTGGGAACAGGATTATATCCTGTTATTTCTCTTATTAATCACAGGTAACTACATCTTGTATTAAATTTCTAACTCACTGTAGCCTTGCATCTTACACCTATTGTATGGTAGCTGTTTGCCAAATTCTGTTTTAGTGTTTGACGGAAGGGTGGCAGTTGTTCGTTCTCTTCAGTATATTCCGAAAGGTTCAGAGGTATAGATGCTTTTACTTTTGATGGTTCATTTTGTTGTAGATTAGCGTTGTTAAGCTGGTTGTGCGTGTGTTGTAATATTTTATTCCCTTAACTTTTGAGAAGACAAATGTAGTGTTTTTCTAAACCCTCTTCTACGTTTTGGGATAAACGCTTGTTGTTGTTATCCCCAACCCTTTCCACAGGTTAGTTTCTTCCTTTACTTGGGTCAAAAAGATTTAGAGCGTGAGTACTGTTGTGGTTTCAACTAGAAAAAGCTACTATGTTGACTTGCCCCAGAAATTCCCTATAGCACGGTTTCAACTTTCGATAGAGGCCACAATATGCTTGGAATATTGAAATGCCTAGGTGTGGATGGCTCCACTGTTTAGTGGTGGGGCGATCAGCATTATGGAAATTGAGGTTATCCAATATGAAGCGCCAAAATGCCATTTAAGCTATGCTGATTATATTCTCCAAAGACCTGTTGAAGCCTTGTAGGATTACTGTTGATAATCTCTGTTCCCAATGTGAGATGCTAATCGTAATTTTTTTATCGCAACAACAATAGGGGAAAAAAAAAAAAGCTGAACTTCTGATATATTGTTTTAGGTCCATTTCTCTAAACGTTCGCATTCCAAAAGTTTCATTCTTTCTATGCTTCTCCATAGCATCTATCACATTACACATGACGTCGCAAATATTCTGATGCGCTTGTTTGCAGAAAAATATAATTGAATTGATAAAAAGTGCTAGCAAAACCCCATGCCACTCCTTAGACTTGATGTGTCAATGGCACCAATCTTTACTTCTTCTGAACAATTAATAAAATTTATTGTCTATTTCGTTTTGGTATTTTTTGGTATGATCATCAAATGGTTGAAAGTCATTATTGGAAACCGATGAAGGTGGAAGTAACACAACCCATAAAATGCATACAAAAATTGACTTTGTTGCCTTTAAACCTTCCAAAAACATTTCTTACTGTTTGAAAATAGACAGGAAGGTTGAAACTAGTAAGTTCTGTTGAAAGAAAAGAAAAGAAGAATAGGGTTTTGCATATATAGTTCTAACAACCTTAGAACTGACTATCGCAACTGTAGAACATGTATATGGCATTTGTCTTCTTGTTACGTTGCTCTCTCAAACATGTACGAGGGAAAGGGTTAGCATATTCCTTTACACTCAAACAAATGACCCTAAATTCTATTTTCTGTTACATTGTCTTCTTGTTACGTTGGTACCCCTACTCACAAAAATACCATTTCTTGAATTTTAACTTCGACTTTACATTGGTTCCCTTTGTTTTGCTCTTGTTCCATCCACCTTTCTATTCTCTTTGTTAGCTCACAACCCTCTTTCACTTTTGTCTTATTTTAGTTTATGTATGGAGCTTATTCCAACACCTCTTATGTTCATCAACTCCCTCTTTGTACACCTACTCATCCCTTCTATTCCTTCCCACTAACGAGTTTGCATGTCCATGATTATCGAGATATGTTTTATTCATAAGCATTTGTATGGTGGTTGATATGCCATCATTAAGAAACTGATTGATGCATATGCAGATGAAACATGTGTTGAAGTGGTGCTGTGATGTTGGTTATGTGTATTGGTGATACAGTCATCTATAGCAATTTTTAGTGTAAGGTATTTAAGCTACTTTGGTGTTTCCCAGAATTTATCTGAAACTCAATTTTCTAACTTTCAGTCTTGTTTTCAATCATGGTCAGGGAATGGTCACCTTTTCTTGCAATTAGCTATAACCGAAAACTCATTGCTATGTATACAGACCTTTCCTGATTGGATTGGGTCGTTTAGTGTGTAAAAATGTACATTTTTGCGAGGAATTTACACAGACTGCAGCAATAATGTATCCTGTGACAAGTTGTCTTCCAAAATTTTTTGTGATGCAATACCTTGGGGTGATGGCTAAAGGTCTTAGGTGTGATGTCAAACCGTTTCTAGGGTTTTTTTAGAAAAGGTTATCTTGTTGCTGCCTTTTTCTTCTTCTTCTTTTTTTTTTCTAACCCTATTCCTCCAGTTTAATGTCAGTTTTCTTCTTCTGAAGTCTTCAAAAATTGTTTGAGGTCTTAGTCATTTGATCGACACTTGTTCAGTGCTGCTGCAGCAGAGAACTTACTGCTTTGTAATATAATAAATTTTGAGAAAATTTGAAATAATATGTAATTATTTTTCTTTTACCTGTCATATTTGAATGCAACATATTTGAATAACATACTTCAATGGCTTTGAAGGTACTAATAAGCTACATAGAAACGGCGGCAAGTACTATGACTCGTCAGAAATCTCTCAAGGAACAGTATTTCTTCACTTGTACTTGTACCCGGTGCAAAGAAGTGGTATGGTTGCCGTTTTTTTTAGTTGATCCCTTTCCCATGTGATAGGCAAGTTGTCATTGTTTGAGTCAACTCATTGTTACTACAGGGGCAACACAGTGATATTAGAGAAAGTGCAATCCTGGAAGGTTACAGATGTAAGGATGACAACTGCATTGGTTTTCTGCTTCGTGACTCCGGTAGATTCTTTTTCTCTGCCATGTTTGCCTCTGGTAGTTAAGCCATTTATTCTGACAGTTGTATCTGTTGTTGTTGTGTAACATGAAGAAAATAAGGGATTCATATGCCAACAGTGTGGACTGCTAAGAGACAAGGAAGAAGTAAAAAGCATTGCTGCTGAAATCAAATTATTGACAGAAAAAGTTTCCACTTTGTCTTCGGAAGGTATCCTTGGAAGTTTGTGAATTTCCACTTTATTGCCCTTATGGACAAAGAACTGCCAGATATGGGGTTTGCAGAAGTTCTACCCCCATGATATGGATTTTCAGTAGATTTTTGATAAATTAGCTCCTTGACCATATCTAGGGAAGAAAGATACTCGTTCCATTTACACAGCAATTGAGAAACTGCAAGTGAAGCTCTGCCATCCTTTCTCAGTTAATCTTATGAGGACTAGGGAGACTCTTCTAAAGGTATTTCGCTAGGCATTACGTGTCTTGAATGTTTATTGCTGAAATTCAGTCAATGCTGAATGAACACCAATTTGGTACCATTGTCTTCTGGAAGACGCATGAAGGGCACTTTTACCGCCACGGGAATCAACACGTGCTAATCCCACTTGTCTTTCTAAATTGCAAATGCTTTTGCAGACATACATGGAGGTGCAAGATTGGGAACAAGCATTGGCATACTGCAGAATAATTATCCCGATTTATGAGAGTAAGTTGCACAAGGAAGTTGAGGTGAACAAGAATTCACTTGTATTCTGTATTGTCTTTGAGCATCTATGATGAAGCCTGACTCTTCTGGAATCTAATTTGTTTTCCAATTGATGTAGTTGCATGAGCATTAGGGCTTTTTTGTTTCTGCTAAAACATGCTGAAATTCATGTTAGGACTTAAGAATGCAGAAAACAATAATTTGAAGAACAAAGCTGAAACTTTTTGATAGTATTTGGTAATAACGAAAGGTTTAGGAGTCTAGGATCCTTTGGCATAACATCTTGGGCCCTTCATTTCTGGCCCAAACAACCCCTGAAGAAGACGTGTTTGGACCCTTCATTTCTGGCATACCATCTTGCATGTTTGGACCCTTCATAGGTATTTCTGTTGAACTTAAATAGCCAAAAGCGCAACTGGGATTGGAATGTATCTTTCTTTTCCGTAACTATACTCTGCTTCCAGAAGTTAATTGATACATGATCCTATATAGACAAGTTGTAAAATGCATGTTGAAACAGTTCTCCTAAGGATTTCCTTAATTGATCTATGATTTTCTGAAAAGGATCAACTCCTTGTGTTATTCTATGCTTGTAAGTAAGTCTAGTGGACTTGTGTAGTTGTGTTCCTTAGTATATTAAAAGAAATACTTCTTTTATTTCTGGATTTTACTTTGTTTGTTGTTTCCGCTATCAAGAATGAGGACAATGAAGATTTAAGTTCTCCTTTGATGGTTGGCTGTTTGAATTTGAATTAAGGGTGCTGATTTTGACTTCATATATCATGTTTGTATAAGTATGTGCTTGGAGTTGATAATCATCAAATTTGGCATCAGCTGCTTCAAATACAAGATGTAGAATGAGGTTTCTGTATTTCCATGCAAAAGTGAACCTTCACTTTAGGCCGACAAGTTTCCATCACTTGACATACGATTTCCTTTCTTAAAGTCTCTTCATCTCTGTCTGGAATTTTTATCATATTTATTTTAATTGTCTAAATTGTTTTGTCTTTTATGCTAGTTAATGTTGGCATTGGCTGGTGCTTTCTCATTTAGTGTGTCAATTTTTTGTCAACAGGAGTTTACCCAAGCCTTCATCCATTAATTGGATTGCAGTATTATACATGTGGAAAGCTGGAATGGTTAGAATTTTTCTTCTCTTTCCCAGTTATTGTAGTCTTATATGGTTTAGAATGTAAAGGTTGGTCTTGATACATTGCTATTTCTCCTTCTGCATACCAATTTCAGTAACTTTCTTATGGGAAAGGTTAGACTTGGACAGGAAGTTTTCTTAGAAAAGCATTGCCTTTAACAATCTGAAACATTTTGAGCTGTTTACTGGGTATTCGGTAGATGATATTCTTTTAACCAAAGGAAAAAAGAAAAAAAAAATTCTTTCTAAGGGTTGTTCATCAACCCAAGAGGGGTAGATTGGGTTCGATAAGGTCTCTTCCAACTAAGAGTAAAACTCAAATGTTTCTGAAAATCTCTTTCAAACCGACAAATTGAATGCAATATGGCCGAGGTTTATCTGAATCTAGTCTACAACAAATGACACAATGCAATGCCTAAAGTAAATGTATAGGATACTGTGATTGTAGGGGTTTGCATCTGTCTTCCTTAGTAGTGGTAATTCATTGCATTAGGTTTTCCAAGTTTCGTATTTCCTAACTCCACTAATCAGTAATCATCCAAAAGTTCTTTCAAAGAACTTAGAAAAGACTTATAACAAAATGAGATACTTAGCTTCTTAACTCTCAAGAGTCGAATAAATCTTACCTTTCTAAAACTAGAAGGTGATTTTCATTTGACTAAGGTTTATCAAGCTCCTAAGAACTTTAATCTCAAAAATAGTACACCGGTCCCCCTTATAAGCTTCTCACCAGTGACCCTCAATCTTTACTCAAGTATAATTGGAAGTATGTATTGGAACTTGGAAGTATGGTGCCTTTTATGGTGAGCAACTCGCATATTGATTTGGTGCCTTTTGAGAACAATACAATCTGTGTGTGTGTGTGTGTGTTTTTTTTTTTTTGGCTTGCATTTGGCCTTATCACATGATACACTTTGTGTCTCATTCAGACATTTTAGATACAGAATTAGACTCCAGGATATCAGTTTGATGCTTCATGTCAAACTGATTCAGTATATATTAGCAACACACCTAATTGCTTATGAAAAGTGGGGAGCAGACTCGAGATTAGTGATAACATGCTTTCAAATTTCATTATGATAATTGATATTCATGTTGTTTTGACAAGTCCAGTTACAATAATAATAATTCCTTTTTCTTGAAGTTTAAATTTAGAGTGGCCTGGTGTTCTGTTCTCTTTACAGGTTTCTTGGGGAGACTTTGGAAGCCATCCAGTCTTTTACCAAGGCTTTGGGTATATTAAGCATCACTCATGGAACGGCGACAAGTTTTGTGAAGGAACTCGTGCTGAAGTTGGAGGAAGCGCATGCTGAAGCATCTCATAAGAATCTTGCACCCGTCCGTGCCACTTGATGTTCTCACCGTTCACAAATGTAAAGCTGCGGAACCATTGTGGGGAATTTAGGATTCTGTTTGTTTAATCATATGAATACATTCCGTCTTAGTGACATGTGATAAATTTATTTTTATTTTTAGTGATATGCGATAAAGTTAATAGCTAGACATATGATCGAAAGTTGGAAACAATTACAAACCCTCTGCATGAGAAGAGAACCTAATCTAAGCCTGTTACCTTTTGTACTTCTAAATTTCTGTCAGATAAATCCACAGAATTTAGCAAATGTCGTTAGCTGTTACTGCGAAGAAGAAAGCATATTATGTCGTTACAGTATCAGGAATATTGGACTACTGTCCGAAAACTAGTAAACTCCGGACCTTTTCCAAGCTGCTTCTCCAAACAGTTAGTATTTCCTGTGATCCACCGACATACGTATCCATTATTACAGTACAACATAGTGGAGAGAAATCATCGAGTTGTGATTCACTATAATAACAAGGACAAGCTATAGTCATGTGGATTTTGCCATAAAAAATCAGAGCAAACTATATTTTAGTGCTTTACATGGTGTGTTATAAAGAATATCACAATTCGCAAGTTTCAGTAACCATATTTACAATATCTAACACAAGTTAGATTGTAAAGAATGTTGAAGATGTATTGGAAAGCTATCTTATCCCTAATCTTATCCCTAAATTCGTATATAATGAATAGTCCAAAAAGACAGAGCTCAAAGGTATAGCTTTAGTGAAAACTCCCATCAAAAAACTGAGTGTGCATCTCCATTCAGGTTTTGGCAGCCCTTTTGGAGCCACATATACATTCTGGGTAGGGATTTTGGTAGAAGGGTTCTTCAAATCTGAAACGCGCTCGACCTTTGACACCTGAAGGGGCGCCTTCCCTTCTCCTTGGTCCACCCTGCCTGAGAGTGAAACTAAACTTGCATTACATACAAATGTAAATTATCTACAGCATTCTATGGCCCATTTTCAGAAAGAAGTATTCTTTGTCCCTAGTATTTCACACAGGTTTCTCTGGAAAGGGGGATAACTAATGAGAATGGGAATTGTCGACTTAAGGAAAGAGCTTGGACGGAAAGGGTGGAGAAAATTAAGTAAAGCAAAACTTCAGGTTCTTTGAAGTGGCAAATAGACAATCCCCCATATCCTTATCCCATATATTATATTATCCAAATACAACTAGATAAACTCCAGTAGAATCAGTAAAATTCTCATTAAGTACGAGAACACTGTCTATAGTATTTTTCCAGAAGAAAAGAATAGCTTATGTCAACGATAGGCGCTGTGAATCCTCAAGTTACGCAAGTTTCAAACGGTAAAGTATGTCAAACATTCTTTCCATATCCATGTTTTACCGTATATATTGAGGAAGAAGTCACCAGCATACCTGTTCTTGTGCATTTCCAGTACAAGTCGAGACAATGATAATCCTTCCTCAAGCACTCCAGAGTCCAGCATATCAAATAGTGCAACAAGCCTTTTCCTACACGATCGATGCCACTAAATTTTAGTAACTAAAGGGAAAGATACAAAAATCATTTTTGAAAAACTTGAAGAAAGATCATGAGAAACTGTGGGGAAAAAAAGAGGAGCTCACAGAATTCAGATATGATGCTTAGATCCTACAATAATCAACTCTAGGCATTAAAACGTAAGAGAATAAGAACAGAAAAGAATACAGAAAAGCTGCTAGTAGGCTGATACACGGATCATCCATATTCCATACATACATATTGCAATATTCACCTCTGCTATTGATTCCTAGCATGCTTTTTCCTCCTATGGTTTCCTGAGCAACCTCATAACTCAAATTAATTCAGCTAACAACAGGAAAAGAAACTTCAATGTTAACCCAAAACACAAGGACCCAAAAACTCAATCTTAACCAGCTGTTATGCGAAAAATAGAGAAGTACCCAGATCCCCATTGAGCAGAAAAAAAGTTGCGTTGTTGAGTGCATTCAAGAATAAGAGCTAATCTTCTTTTAATTAAACTGGACATTTATCAAGACCCACTGGGTAATGCCCAGTTTGTAGACAAAACTAAGGTTCAAAGATTCGGTAAAAATTCATAAACTAGAACATGGAAAACAAAGAGGTGTTTCCGACAGAATATAATTCACTAAACAGGCAATTGCTTACACATTATTATTCAATTAAATTTTACTAATCAGCAAGTTGAGATTCAGGAAAAAATAGCATCTTAGCAGTTTACAGCGGATGAGTTAAGAGTATGAGACATTTAATAAACAAATATTTTTGCCGAAGTCTTCCATAGACATTTAAGGTACTTCTCCATCTCTTTTCCAACCAACAGGAAAGATCGTACAAAATGTCCAGAGCTGAGGCAAGTTGCCATGAAAGAGATACGGATAAGAGTTGAACTCATGCACTACTAATTGATTCTACCATTCCACCAAATTAATTCATTTAGTAAGGTACCCAGGATTAGTCTGCTCTAATGTTTAATGACAAAAATGGTCATCTAAGAATTTAAGCCAATTACTTTAGTGATGTGTGTACTAACCGGTCTGGAGTAATAGTCTTCCGATGCCCTAAAAATCTGCGGTGCCCTTCAACAGCTCTTGCCATGTTACCTGAATGTGATGGAACAAAGACATCGCTTTCTATAGAGATGATATAATCAAGTGCAGCAGATTGAGATGCGTGATTGGAAAAAGATTTTAGCTCCTGTTTGCTTGCAAGTGTTTCCTGCCGTTAGAGAGAAACTATTTGGTTACAGGAGCTAGCACGAAATAATACATTATCAACATCTGTTCAGTGAGCTAACCAACCTTAAAAACAACATTTGGATAGCGAGAAGTAAGCTCCGAAAGGTGAGTATTACCACCATAAATCTCCCCAGCAGCAATATAAATCAATGTCCACGGAGGGTAACCAAGAGCGTGAAGGAAAATTCCAACCTCCTTGGGAGTCAGCGGGCATAAACCATTTATTCGTTGTTCTGTTGAATTAATATTCTTAACCTTCCAATGGTTTGTATTCTCCCTACACAATTAGGAGAAAAAAGATCAAGACATTGGTCATTGAAAGGGCAGCAGTCAGAAATTTATAACTGTTGAAGAATACCGCTACAGAATCCCCAGATTACAAAGGCGCCTTCCTTGGGTCAAATTACCAAGTAAGTTATAATCAAGTAAGTTATTATAAAATTTTAATACGAATCATTTAAGTCTCTAACTTTTCCAATTTGCTGGCATGTGTCTGTATATTTAATAGAAAGTTTTAAGCTAGACACAGTTGCATGACACATGAAGCCTACCAACCACAATACTGAGAGAATTGTTTTTCCATTCATGAACCCAGCATTTGTAACACATGGCACAACTAAGGACCTGGTGAAACAATAAATGTGAGAAGTAGAGGCTCTATTGGGGCATAAGCATTCACCTCAATATTCGAAGTTCTTTAGATTCTTCCTGTGTTAGGCCATGTGTGCAGCCAGTAAAAGAGAGCATGTCCTTCTCATATCTCAAATGAAGAGCAATGTATCTTTCTGCACGAGATCTCAACCTTTCCACTAGCTTCTGCGGTGTCATCGTCATGTATTCTCAGACCCTAATTTAACATGAAGGATTGTGTCGGAGACACCAAATGAACACAAAAGACCTATGGGCACATCTGGTTCATTACAGTCATAATGTATTACATCAAACAAGCAACTTCATTCATGTGAACAGACATCAAAAACAGCTGATGTCTCGCATTTTAAAGCAATGTCACTCTGTTATAAAAAGTTTCATGAAAATACTGGATTGCCCAGCAAGCCATTTTCATTTTAATATTTCTTATAATCAGCATATGAAGAAAAACAAACATAAAAACATTAGAAAAGTGTATATAAAAAGACGCTGGATTATTAACCCAAGAATCTGAATAGGCTAATTAATTGTAATAGACAGAGAGAGAGAGAGAGAGAGAGAGAGAGAGAATTCTAACCTTTCCAAGGTTTTCAATAGCAGGAGAGAAGCGGAGAGCATTATACAGAGCTCGGCACCTCAATCGCTGGATATCAAGAGGAAGATCATTGTTGGCCAGCCGTGAATCAGATTTCGCAACATGAATTACCTATGTAAACCATATAGCAAACACAGTTCAGACATATCACATGTTAGACATCCGTTAGAGACTTTCTTTATCAAAAAAGTAACAGGGAAGAAAACACAGAATAAAAAAGGAAGTGTGTAAGGAAGATTATAACACAGTTGACTATCCTTTAACTAAAGGCTTGAACATTCTTCATCAATCATATGAAAGTTTCAATCTCAAATTAACTAAAATAAACTATTTAATTTCACATAATCAGCCAAAGCTACGAAAATGGCAATGTACACTTTAACGTATAGCTAGAAACTAGGGTACATAGAGTGAAATTTGTTTTGTGTCATTTCATTGCGAGATTTCATAGTCCTATTGCTACTAGTCTCCTCTCTGCAACCATCCAGCCTTAGAGATCTTTGGCCCTATCAAGATGAATCATCTGTCATTGTGAAATCTCAAAAGATATTGGCTATAACAAAAGTCACCTTCAGATACTATATGTATGTATTACCAGGCATCAAATAGTGTCACACACAATTTACAATCAATTCCGTAGGAATTGAGTTCAGTTCCAGCAGTTTTAGTTTGAAATTCAGATTCAAACTTTTCTCACTTTAGGCCCTTCAGAAAACAGTCTGGTGGCCTATCCAAGTTTTCTCACGAGGAAAAGAGATTTCCAATAGAAGATAAACTGCATCATTAGAATCCAGCCAACAAATTGAACCCACAAATTTGGCAACCAGAAACACAGAGGAACGAAAAAATTATCCACCTTTTCTGACAACATTGCCAAGTACACTTATATACTTTCTTTTTCCATTAATGATTCTCCACTTGGAATATTGGATCAGTCTTCACTATTTATCGTCTCACCTCCATCAACTCTTGATAGGAAACGTAGCATTCAGTAGAATAATCCAAAATGGAATGAAAGCATGATTATAGAATTGGTTTTGGTAGTGACTGAGGCTATTAAAGAAGTTGTTTTCCAAAAGGATTTTCCATGCCTTCTCAGCAAAGCTCTTCAGCACATAACCCGTTAAGAACCCAGAAGCACAAGTCCTGGAGTTCTTTCTCCAATTTTAGAATCAATTAACAAACAAAATCTGACGCAGGACAAAACGTGGTGGTTAAGAAAATCAGAACTTAGGCTGATTAAAGAGTATTATGAAGCGGAAAATCAATAGAAAACTGTAGGGAATAAGGGTAGAAATCGCAGGAACACAGAGATAAGCAGTAGGAAAAGAGAAGAAAACCTAAGAATCACTCTTAGGGCCCGTTGGCGTCACACCGCAGGAATGCTAGGCATCACACCAAGGGTTTAGTTGAGTCACACAACTGATGTTGAAAGCAAAAGCTCGCAGGAATTTTTATTAATCTGATAACTGTATAAAACCCTCAAACGAGGTACTCCCTCCATTCCAAAATAAGTGTCATCCTACACTTTGCACATAGTTTAAGAAACTCTTAAATAGGGTTATAAAATTACTTGAATAACCTCAACCAACCCCATTAAAAAACTGTCCACCAATAGTATTAATTCTTTTGAGGGTAATTTTGGACAAAAAATGCATTGAAATTTGAGAACGACACTTATTTTGAAATTTTTCCATTTTGCTAAAACAACACTTATTTTGGAACGGAGGGAGTAGATATATATAGGCCTAAAACTTAACCTAAACCAAGGACAACTAGGATTCTCACCTAATTTCCTTTTTATTCCAAGAAAATCCTGCAGCATAACTAATATACTAAAATACCCTTTCCTAAATATTAATACTGAGATAAACTAATTAAATTACTGCTTAATAAAGGATTAACTAAACCAAATTCCTAACACTTTGGCTCCTTCATTGGATCATGATAATCCTGGGCATAAGTATGGAAGAACCTACTGATAGGGTTCTTCTACCATTCCTTGTCCACTTTGGCTCCTTCCTTGGATCATGATAATCCTGGGCATAAATATGGAAGAACCTACTGATAGGGTTCTTCTACCATTCCTTGTCCCCTTCAAAATCATACTGTGAATCTTACATCTAAAACCTTTTAATTTGAACCCAAACAAATAGTAAACCTTTATGAAGCCTTTCAGGCATGTGTAAGCATGAACTCTCATCACCAGAAGATCCTCATTGGATAGAAATGGGCATTTGTTAATGAAATGCTTGAAATACTAGTTGTATAACTCCTATTTACCATATTTAAACAATAGTGTTTCTGTTGTCTTTTTAGTGGTAATGAGAGCATCGTTTTGGAACAAAAGGGACAATGATACATTGGGAGAAAAGAATTCATCATAACATTGAAACTAAACACACCTGATAATCCTTCCATAGCTGTGTCATCTCTTCATAGTAGCTCATGCTAGCCCATGAAGAGAAGTGCTTCCTAGCTCGAGGAACAGATTCTAGTTCTTTAGGAAGCTCCTTCACTATCCTCACGTCAGTTTGTAAGTTCATGATAAAATGTGTCTCATCAAATATGTCAGCAAATGTACTGCATAAAGAGGATCATCACCAGATTAAAACTTCAAGCATGTCTACTATAAAACTCGAATAGCTATAGTAAGTAAATGACAAAGCAGATATACCAAAATGAAGAAGGGTGGCACAAAGATAAAGGGAACCAAAACAAGAGAAATATAAGAAAGCTACAAATGAAGGTTCAAACAAAACAGCAAGGTACATAAGATAACCTTGTATCTTGCCAGAATGACTTTTTATCCAGTTGAGGGATTACCAAAGTTGCATTCATCAAGCGTGCCACAACCACCATGTCTGCTATCTAAGAGCAAATGAAAAGATCAATTTGGAGGACTTGACAAATACAAAGAAAAAAAAAATCATATTCCAAAAACTGAATTTGTAGTAGATTATACGTAACTTTCCAGCTTTACAGAATGGTAGAGAACGGAAATAAACCAGTGGTTAGGATATAGGGCTCTCTCAGAATAGACCCGGGACCCATTCTCACGTGGGAAGAAGGTTTTCCAACATTTATAAATGTAAGGCCCAAAAGAGTATCAGAAATTAAACACCCTTCAGAACAACAGCTACGATCATATTTGTCTTTCTTTTTCTTCTTTTTTTTCTCTCGAAAACAGTTGTTCTATGTTCTCTTTGTTTTGTTGAAGGGAATGGATTTTTAAATGGTATGTGTTTTGGGATGTCACCAGTTGACCAAGACAAGGTAGATATTTTTTAAAAGGATACCAATTCTTGGAAGAAATTGTCAAGGCCAAATCACATGCACCTCATACAAGTTCGATTCTTGTGCAATTAAAAATAATGATAAATACAACTTACACCAGTGCGCATTTGATTTAATCCACCATTACTTCTTACAGTCATGTAGCGATTCCCTCTTTGCGCATCTGAAAATTGAAAAATGAGAGGAAAAAAGTAGAGTTTCAAAGAAGAACTAAATGGTAACAAATCTCACTTCTGAAGCATCCATAAATCAGAAAAGTCACAAGGAATATATAAAGCAATACCTTTGTACTGAGGGGTGCGGTTAACACACGAGTGTAGACCATGGCTGGATGGTACTTCCCAAATTGCATCCTCGCGTATCTGCAATGTATTGGACGACAAAACGACTTTACATCTTCCCGCATGTAACTATATTATCGGTGATCTTTCAAACATAACCCTATGTCAGGAAGTTATATGAAAGTGCTGAATTGACCAAAATAAATAAATAAATAAATATTATTGAAGAATGGAGTCCTGATATATATTTTAACACAAAAAGATGCCTACTCCCTCCATTTTGAAATATATGTCGTTTTAGGGTTTGGTGAATTTTTTTAAATATATGTCGTTTTCACAAATCGAGGCACATTTGACCACTTTTTACCAATGTTACCTACATTATTTAATTTTTTCTTGGTTTTGATGAATTCTCTAGAAAGACATATAAAAAAAAAATGGAGGGAGTACTTCGTAACCTGACTTGAACCCCTAAACCAGCAGACTCTCTACAAATAACTAAATTCATCTCCAAGCCTTTCCCAAAAAAATAAAAAATAAAAAAGAATGCATCTCCAAGTGTGATCAAGATAAATTTCCGTTAACAAATTTGAACCGCAGTCACCTCGAGGTAAAAATGATCCTGGTATAGGCAATAGGAAAAAGAAGGAGACCTGCTGACCAAGTTCCATGAGAATAAAATGGTTTCAGCAAAGCAATTTGCTGAAATGTAGCATATAGTTTATATTTTGGCCAAGAAAAGGAAACACTAAATGGCTGAGTTTTTGCAGAGTGAAAAAAAGATCTCTTTATTTTTACAAATTACAGATACAAACTATGAAGTCAAATAGAACCCTCACAGTTGTATTTAATTGCCTCAGAAGAAAGAAAAGAAGAGAAACTCTATCACAAGTGAACAATTCATCACTAACCGATAACACGCAATATCCAGTATAGGAATATGATTTCACATCTATATAGCCTTACAGATTACTAGAGACCAAAAGAGAAGCTCTGTAAAGCATCATTCAGGAGGATAAGAATATAAGAAGAAGAAGAAAGACACCGACTGTTTGTGCGCTCCTTTGGTATCTTGCTTACAACAAGCAAAAACATAACAGGAAAGCAAAAGTGTATACTAAATATTCCTGTTCTCGTTGTTTGGCCAACAATCAAATACAATAGCAATCAAGCAGCATGAAGATACCATTCTATTGTTCATAAATGCACCAGAATGTGAGTTTTAGTTTTAGTCTAAACATAGTGTTTTACCCATCCTTTCACTCTGGAAAACACAGTCCTCTCATGTCTCCAATAGTAAAATAAGAAGACAAAATGGAATTCTTTGATTAACAAATTATGGTTGGCAATTTGTGTGCCTTTTGATCCCAATTTTCACTGTGTTAGTGCTACCAGAGAAACTATATGCGTATTGCATTTTTTAATAATTTCATTCTTTCTGAAGGACAACAAATTTCCATATAAGTTCAAAAGACAAACTCCTTCAGCCTGTTTGGACACTTCTAAGTTCAAAATCATAGAGCTCCCAACACAACAACAGGAACTTTAGCCTCGACCCCATATAGGAAAAACCAAACATAATCCAACTCCTTCTACCTGGAAATGCCCAAACAATCGAAATTGCTAAAAACTCTTGTCAACCGTACCAAAAATCAAACAAAAAAAAAAAAACACACACACACAACAGAACATGAGTATAAAATTGAAAAATCCCAGTTCTCAGTATCCATGATATCGTTTCCAGAAATAATACTAGAAAATAATGGCCAATAATTGAACAATGTCGCACCTTTTCATATTTGAATTTCTCCTCTGATACTACTAAAACAGGTTTCCTCTCTTCATCAGATTTGAATTCGTCCTCTGATACAGCAAACGCGGGCTTCCTCTCTTCATCCGCTAAGATATCTCTACTGTAGATTATGAAACCAACGATTGAGAAAGCAAAGAAGACTACCATACAGAGCGCAATCGACGTCAGAGATGATCTTCTTGACAAAATTGATGAATTCTTCGAGTGACCGTAGCCTCTGTTAACCATTTTTTTTTTTTTTTGCTACCTAAGTCCTTCCATATACAGATCTCTTCGTTGGCTTGTCCTTTCCTTGTGATTAAGACTTCTGAGTTCTGAGCTGTGAAACAAAGATTATTTTAGTAGTCCGACATTATGAAAAATTAAAAATTGATTCTTTTTTATCCTAAACATTTCCTTTTTCTTTTTCTTCTTTTTTTTTTTTCGGGTTCATTTTCGTTCCATCAGTAAACTAAAATTATTTTAATAAGTTATTAAATAAAAAAATGAGTACTCATCGGTTTATGGATTAATAAGCAACGAATTACGCTAAATGTATAGAACTAAAAACTAAAAAAGAGCATCTTTAATAATGGGGAATCAACTCTAAAACGCTCAAGATTTAATTCTCTGTTGTTTATTAGTAAAATTATAAAAGATAAATTTTAGTTGATGTGATGTGCACAATTTTGTTTATTCATTCACTCCAGTGAGAAAGGACAAGTTTTTTTTTTTTTTTTTGAGTAAATGAGAAAGGACAAGTTTAATTCCAATGAAATAACTATTACTGTTATCAAAAACAAAATCAAATTATCATAATGTTATTCATGTCTAAATATTTTGGTCCACAATGTCGACTTGTGCTCATACGTTAAGGAAAAATTGGATTTAGCACATAATATCCGAACTCATCCTTCTCAAATTAAGATGATATCATCTTTTGTAACACTTCACGGTGATTTATATGGTGAACAATGTTTACAATATATAGTATACTTGTTTTAGGATTTGTGTTACACAAATAAAAAAGGAGAGTAGGTTTTCATATTAAACGCCTGTACACATGGTGAGCATAATTTTTTTCCCAAAGTTTCAAATTAAAAACCGTACACTACCAATTGAACGTAGTTCAAAATTAATTCTGAATTTTTCTTTCTCTGGATTTCGATCTTAATACAACTCCTTTGAAAGTCGCTTATGACGACTCAATCTATCTCATGAACACTGATCACATGGAAATAAGTCAAGAAGATGAGAGTGGTGATGGCTCCCAACAACGTTGCAGCAGAGATGATTGTATTATTGAAGATTTCAATAGTGGTTGTTCGAACCAGGATTTTGACGAAACAAATCATGTAGATGATTTGTCAGAATTGCAATTGACACGCATTGGCGATGATGTAATGATTAGTGAGCTTCAATTGGATTCTATTGAGGAAGATCAATCGTTACCTGGTAAAAATTTCTTTTGTTAGTTCTAGTGTAACATAAAAGATGAACATGTCATAGACTGTTTTTGAATTTTTCATTATTAATATATGTACACATACTTTTAAGATGAACTTGCTTTAGAGTGGTTATGAATTTTTCATTATTACTATATGTACACATACTTTTTACAACATTATTTGTCGTGTGTATTGTATTAAAATTTACGAAGTTATTCTGCATGAACATTTCATACACAGATTATGAATATTATCAATCTATACTAAAATTATATTTATATTGCAGAATCCACCGATTTGAATGATGTAATATAAAAGATGAACATGCTTTATAATGTTTATGAATTTTCCATCATTAATATATGTACACATACTTTTTAGATGAACTTGCTTTAGAGTGATTATGAATTTTTCATTATTACTATATGTACACATACTTTTTACACCATTATTTGTTGATTTGTCGTGAGTATTGTATTAAAATTATTCAAGTTATTCTGCATGAACATTTCATACATAGATTATAAATATTTTCAAACTATACTAAAATTTTATTTATATTGCAGGATCCACCGATTTGAAAGGATGTTTAATAGGACAAAAAGTAAAATCAGAGGAGAAGGCTTTTACTCTTTACAACAACCATGCACAATTAGTTGGTTTTAGTGTAAGGAAGACTCATCAAGAGTACAGGTCCGGAACAAAAGAAATTCGAATGAAACAATATGCTTGCCAGAAAGCTGGGGAGAAGAGGAACAAAGACAAGGTAACGAAGTGTTATTCTAACATAGACTTTCGTACTAATTGCCCAGCATTTATAAGTTCAATGTTGATAAAGACGGTATATGGACCGTGCGAAAGCACGCCACAGCACATAATCATGATTTGTGCCTCCCATCGCAAGTCAAATATCTGTGTTCCCATAGGGCAATGACGATCAACACTGTCAAGTATTTTCATGATATGGAGGCAAGTGGAGTACCTTTGGCAACTACTATTAAATACTTAGGTGGAGAGCATAATGTTCGTTGGACAGATAGAGATGCATATAACAAAGTAGCTCAGTACAACGATTCTCAATGAGAAGGTTGTGATGCAAGTGCACTGCTCAAAATTTTGGCACGGAGGAAAGAAGTTGAAGACAACTTCTATTATGATTAGGGTATGGAAGATAGTTCAAGATTATGCTGCATTTTTTGGAGAGACGGGCTCATGTACGCGGACTATCAAGCATACGGAGACTTGTTGGTTTTCGACACAACATATCGTACTAACAGGTATAAAATGATTTGTGCACCATTTGTCGGAATGAACAAACATAGCATGAATGTTATGTTTGGTTGTGGATTAATATTGAATGAGAAGATCGAATCTTTTGAATGGCTACTCGACACATTTTTAAAGTCGATGGATTCAAAGCAACCGATAATTGTTATGACTGATCAAGATTTTGCAATGGCTGCCGCAATTCATGGAGTTTTCCCCGATTCTAGACACAGATTGTGCACGTGGCACATAAGTGAGAATTCTAAGAAACACATCATGGGTTTAAGGGGGAAAAAAGAGTTTGTTGAGTTGTTCAACTTCATTCTGAAGTATACAGATACTGAAGCCGAGTTAGAATGGCACTGGAATAGGTAATATTTCAATTACTACCTTTTTAAATTCTAATGAAAGTATAGGTTATTGTTTATGAACATTGTGCATTCATTATATGAATATTTATGTGAATCAGGCAATACCCTTTTATGATGTGATTTTTGTTTCATGATGTGATTTTTGTTTTATATCATAACCCAATTTTATTATTATTTTTTTAAAATATCATTTTAAAAATTATGAAATATTTACTGTTTACTTTGATTAATGATTAATGTTTATAACCGATACTACATATGAGATTACCATGAACAATTCATTTGAACATATGAACAAGTAATACTTCATATATGAACGTCATCTACATTATGGATAATTTGTTTGAAACATATGAACATGTAATACTACATATATGAACGTCATCTACATTATGGAAAATCACAGGTTTATTTGAAAATTACAGGTTGTGCGACAAAATATGGTTGCGGTGAACACCCCTGGATGGTTAAATTGTATAACAATAGGGAAAAATGGTGTCCAGCATTCAATAAGGATTTTTTCTCCGGTGGAATTTTGTCTTCTCAAAGGAGCGAGATAACTAACAAATCCGTTTCTGCCGGTTTATCAAAAACTTCTTCTCTGTGTGATTTTTATAGGTTATTTAAAGATGTAGTGTCCAGGTGGAGAAGCAATGAAAACGGAGAAGATTTCCGATGCAATCACGGTGATGTAGATGTGATGGTGCATAACCACCCGTTATCATTGCATGCAAGTAAGGTTTACACCATTCAAGCCTATGAGTACTTTGAGAATCAATTCCTACATGGCATTTTATGCAAAACAGAGCTTCAGAGCTTGTGCGTTCAATAGACAATTATGTGGTTTATTACGTGTGGCTGCCTGGGGTGGATATTTTTAAACACCAAGTATTCTTCAAGAAGTCAACAAAACACATACATTGCACGTGCAAACAATTCACGGAGGTTGGTATGTTATGCGGTCATTGTTTAAGAATCATGCATGCTAACAACGTTGATTATGTTCCAGATAAATTTATACACAAGCGTGGACAAAAGAGTATAATCGAAGGGAAAGCATCATAATCGCAGCTAACGTTGTAGATAATTATGAAAAAATTGGTGCATCTTTCTGGTCTTCAAAAATGACCAGAGACATTTTGGAGTTGATATCTGCGAGTGAAAGGAACAAAAATGCCAGGGAGTTTTTCGAAAAAGGCTTTAAGGAATTGATGGATATCATTGTTGCTGAAGTTGGACCTATTTATTTTAAAGCTGGAAATGAACAATCAACTTCCAATGGAGTACAAAATCCTGCTGGATGTAAACCAAAGGGTGAACGGAATGTGCGTTAGAAGTCAATATCTGAAAAGAAGATTAATCAGGCAAAAGGAAGGAAGAAAAATGCAATGCGGGCTGCTTCACGGACTAAAACTGCAGTGCAACGATCAGTGATGGACAGCATGCCCAATATAGTTGGTAATTTGGTGCACCCTTCAAATGGTGGTCAGCATATGGAATCGTCAATGTCTTCAGAAAGATGTGGAGGGAATTTTATTAATTTCCTTTAGTTAGGTTCAATATTTGTTTCTTGATTTTTTTTATTGCTTTCTTATTTTTTACACTTACAAAGGTTGAATATATGCAGATTATAATATTCCTTCAATGTTATTATTAGTTTTTAACGTAAAATTTAGACCTAACTGAATATTTTTAAGTATTGTGATGATTGTTAAAGATTAAACATATGAACACAATGTTTTTCAAAAAAACTGACCCATCAAATCGTATGTTTCCAATCAAATCTTACTTTAATCATATGAACATTATTTATACATTGTATGAAAATCTTCTATTTACTTGATAGACATAATTCCATTAAACATACTATACAACCAATAACCAACATGTAACCTTTACTGAACACCCAAAAAAAAATAATAATAAAAACCTATGTTTCTAATTACGCCTTACTTACTTTAATCATATGTACATTCCTTATATATTGTATGAACTTCAGTTATTACAATGAACTTAAAAAATATATTTGTATAACATAAGGTTCAAACTAGATGTTATTAGTATGAACATCACCATATCAATTTATGAACCTTAAAAAAAACCCCAAACATATCAGATTAAAAAATAAATCACTTTTGAAAATTGAATTTGTCAATGAAAAAATGCCATGAACATCAAGATCTAATGTCATGAACTATTGCAGCTGATTGGAATACGTAATTCATTCTAGCTGATTGGGTGAATACCAAAAAAACTGCTAATATTTAAGTGAATGAAATATTAAAAAAAAAATTAGGGTTTTACTTTCTTCCTCAATTCCTTGTTAAATCTTCGAGCAGCATCCAACACGAACTCATTGTAGTCATTAACTCCAGATAATAGAATTTCAGCCATATATTTCACCCTTAAGGTCTCAATCTGCTTTCCTGACTGCAAAATTAAGATGGAATTCTTTTTAAAAAAAAGGCAAAAAATTCATAATATCTAATCAAACCTTAAAGTTTTTAATCTTACATTTCCTGTGTCAAACCCAGCTTCCCAATCATCAATGCTTTCTGCAAAATAGGTCTCCATGTGCCTCAGACAGAATACACCAGCATCATTATTAGATACCCCATTTTGCCACGGCATTCTCAAAAGTTTTGAGTCCCAAATGGTCGATTTACCAATGCCCGGAAACCTGTTTTTAATGAAAAACGCAATGGTTGCATCCTTCTATATAGTTAATAAACAATAGTGAGTATACACTATATAAAAAGTTTAATATTAACGGGAGCAAAATATTGAGAATTAACTTACTAGCCTTATATAGGATCTCTATACTTAGTTTCACAAGTATCACCCACCTCTGAAGGCTTGTCGTCAATAACTTCAATCATTTTTGAATTCATATTGAAACATACAGCTATGTATCGCGAGTCATGCATCATTGGAATAAACACCTACATGTGGAAAAAAATATTGTCATGAACATAGTCATTATAAAACTTGAACAAATGATGAAACCTAAAACCCAACTCTCACTTCATATAAAACTTAGTGTTACATTACTTGAATATTTATGTATGTCTCTCCAATTCTTTTTTCGACTCTTCCTATATACTTTGTGGCAGACGAAAGGAACTAGTAAGGGCAGATGCCCAAAATTTTTAAAATTTTAACTATAAATTTAAAAATCTTTTTCGTTTTTTATTTTGCAAAATAATTTTTACCCTATCTTTTTTTTTAATAATTTCTAACTCTACCACTATTTATACTATTATACCGAGCCATCTCTGGATAGGAAGACATTATGATAAGATACATAAGCATAACTAGGACTGTCAATAATATTTTATCCAAATACCAAAAGTAGTTATTACATCGTTCATCTTTTCTCTTTTTTTTTTTAATAAAATATGTATCCGGGGATGGTTTTTTTTAAAAAAAAAAAGAAAAAAAGGGAAAAAAGGGGATGGGATTTGTTAATTAATTAATAATATCATTTAAAAACATAGGACTAAAATGGCAATTTTCTTCATTAATCATGAAGACAGTTCATCAAAGTTAAAATAGCAAATCCTAAAAGGAAAAGGATTTGGCGGAATTTGGGAGTCTATAAATAGAGCTCAGAATTCAGATTTAGGCATAATGTTATCATTAGTTCAATTCGATATTGGTTGCCTTATTTCATCAAGAAGAAGAAGAACAGTACGAATACATTACTTCCCGCGCGCTTCGCCGTCGTCAGAATTTCTCCTTTTTTAGTTTCTGGGGCTTGTCGTCTGTAAATTTCTCCGGAGACCCCAAATTTCTCGTCTTTCTTTTTTTTTTTTTAGTTTCTGGGCTTGGAGAATGATTATGGGGTGTGAAGCAGAAACAGAGGATCTGAATTGGAGAGGAGATCATGGCTCCCAAAAGGTGTGGAGGTGAAGAATGAGAAGGTATGGGCAGAGTACGAGAAGCAGATCCACGAGAGTCGGGGTTATGAGGTGGAGGTGTACCTGGGGTTTTGCCGGAAAAGTACATTCATACCTTGGGATTTCAGAGGAGGACAAGGATCCAAATCCAAAGGCCAATTACGAATACTCGATTTCTACTCGGATATAGCACCAACCCTTGAGGATCTCGTTGAGATGTGCAATGAATGCATTCAAAATTACAACCACCATACCCATGGGCCGCCGTACAAGTTGATTAAAACCGGGGTGGGGGAGGATGATGATGGGATTGATTTCGTGACTTGTAATTCGATGGTTTCTTACCTTTAGAGCTTATCAGGATGTTCCCGCAAATTCTCAAATCTTCCAAGCTGAGTATTCGACGGTTGCTAAATTGTTTGGTTACCAGAAATATGTGATTCATTGCCAACTCAAACAGGTGCTCGAAGATGAAGCCACCAAGGCAGAAGAAGCCAATTGGCCATGCCGTCTTCCATGCGGTATCTATCATCCTGGCCTTATTCGTGACTAAGCAACTCTTCTTTCTTTCTTTCTTTCTTTCTTCTATTGATTTAGTAGATGTTTTCTTTTGTACTCTGAAATTGTAGTTAGGAGTAGTTAGTTGTTTTCTATTGATTAGGTTGTTCTCCTTTCTACTCTGGTGGAATTGTAGTACTCGTTCTCTCTTTTTTTATATGTACAACAATGATTATTATTATTACCTTCATTAATTGACGTTCTTTTCTTTTCTACTGTCCACTTTATTATGGAACCGATTAATCAAATCATATCAAATTAACATTGTCTCTTCTTTCATTTGTTTTTGTGGAGTGCTTATAGTTGTATCTTTGCAGCGGGGCAGGAGAGGTTATTCTAAGCCAAGAGACATACGTATCAGTACCAAACCAAAATTCGGTTGATTCACACGCCAAATATGAGTGATGATTCTCTTCAAGTTATCTCAAGAAAGTGCTCTGCTCGTATAGTTGTCTGGTACTGTGGGAGAAGTTGCCAGGTGATTTTTTTTATTGTTCCGGTTATCGGTTTCTTGTCTATGTTGAACTTTTTGCAGTTTCTAGAAATTATTTCAAGATGAAAGTTGTAAAGTAAAACTTGCAACCATTAGTCTGGCCGTATCCCAGAGCAAACTGGAAAATTAATTTTTAACTATGGTTATAGTTATGATTGTGTTTTGATATTTTCTAAAGTGAGCGTTTACACGTTCAAAATATCATCATCAGGGAGTGTTCTGGATCAAACTGGAATGTGGAACAAAGTGGAATATGAACTATTTGGATATTTTGTGAATGAGTTGCGATGCCATTAAACGTTTCTCCATTATGCGGAGAATTTTCAGAACTTTTTTTTACTCAGTTTTGCTTAGTAAATTTTAGCTCTTTGCAAGTTTTTGTTCATACTTGTCTTTTTTTGCTGAGTGATCTTCTAATTAAGTGGCTTTGTGTTTCAGACTATGGTCTGGAAATTGCATTGCCTCGAGTGCCAAGTAAGTACTATGTAAAGTTGGCAAAAGCCGACTAAAGTCACTTACACCTTCCATACGCTTAATGCTAAAACTCTTTCTTCTAAGAAAACTACAAAATGAGAAGGTGAGAGAGAACTTGTTTTTTTCCTTCATTAGTTAGTTCCTTATTTGAGATAAAATGTAAAGCAGGCTGCACTAGCCCGACTAATGTTCATTGTGTCGAGCGCCTTTACAAATTTTCTGAAAACAGAGCTTGTGCTCTGTGGTTATGTTTTATTTTCAAGATTTTGTTCATGCATTATAGTTGTAGGATTTGCCTGGATCTCCATACTAATGCTTTCAAGATTCTTTTCCATAAATTGCCAAATCGTAATGTTTTATTATTTTTGTATCTTTATCTATAGGAGATTGCAGTTAATTTTTCTAGGGTACTTTTCTGCTTATTTTCATGAATATTGGGTTTACCTTTGAAATACGGGCTCTTCTTTGGAGATTAAAAGTCCGGAATGATATTTCAAATAGTTTTGAAGTAGTTCATTGTAATTCAAGAGTGAAAATAGGTTCTCATTCCTGAGTTAAATGCAGTTTTTGGATATGTTTTCTGGTTAAAATTCATTATATGTCTGCAGCTGGTAGGATTAGAGCTGCGATGCGAAGTGGTACTGTGAAAATTTTAGCATATGTAGCCATACTTGTGTTGGATTTCTTTACTTATTCCACCAACTAGTTTGTCTATGAGCCACAATTTCATTGTGTTTCATAGTTTTACAGCCTTAAAGAGTTGCGCATTTAGTTGGCAAAGTGCAATTGCGTTTAATTTATGTTAATGATTTGCTAATTGGAGGACAGATGGATGTTTGTTTCTGAATAAACAGAAGTGGCCTTATAATTGTGGGAAAAGCATTTAGTACAAATTAGAGTGGAAGCTCTGGTTTCATGCATACTAGATAAGGATTCAGTCCTGGGAACATATTTGTTGTGTAAGCTCCAGAACAGAAATGATGTAGCATTCTTGAATGGAAAAAAAGTTAGGGCAGTGTTACTTTATCCGGCACTAAAACATTACGCGTAAATTTAGCAACCAATTGCAGTAAAATAAATTTTGGTACACCTATCGCAATGCGAGTTCTTTATCTCTTCTCTCTAATTCCCTTGGGTCGGAAGTTTTCGTCACATAGAAAATAGCCATTCTCGACATCCACTGGTAGGGTACATACATATTGGTATGTCCATCTCTTTGATAGGAAACCAAGGAACTTAATTTGTTCTTGTGAATGAGTTTCAATGTTCTAATTACTGGTGAAATGCAACAAATAAAATTCCATCATTTCTTCGCGAAATAATTATGTTTTGCCTATTAACTCCCATTCTTTTATAGAGTCAAATGCAGCTTGCTTGTAACGCGCACACTATCTGTGATGCTGAACTGGGACCTGTGGGTACAGGATTATATCCTGTTATTTCTCCTATTAATCACAGGTAACTACATCTGGTATTAAATTTCTTACTTACTGTAGCTGACATCTTACGCCTTATTCAGTTGTTCATCCTTTTCAGTATATTCAGAAAGGTGCAGAGGTATAGATGCTTTTACTTTTGGTGGTTCATTTTGTTATAGATTAGCTTTGTTAAGCTGGTTGCGTGTGTTGTGATCCCCTTAACATTTGAAAAGACAAATATATTGTTGTTTTAAACCCTCTTCTCCATTTTTGGGATAAACGCTTGTTGTTGCTGTTGTTATCCCCCAACCCTTTCCGCAAGTTAGTTTCTTCCTTTACTTGGGTCAAAAAGATTTAGAGCGTGATTACTGTTTTTGGTGGTTTCAACTAGAAAAAGCTACTATGTTGACTTGCCCCAGAAATTTCCCATAGCACGGTTTCAACTTTCTATAGAGGCCACAACATGCTTGGAATATTGAATGTGTAGGTGTGGATGGCTCCAATGTTTTAGTGGTGGGCCGATGAGCATTATGGAAATTGAGGTTATCCAATATGAAGCGCCAAAGTGCCATTTAACCATGTGGAAAGCTAGAATGGTTAAAAACTTTCTTGATCTCTTCCCCAGTAATTGTTGTCTAGTATGGTTTAGAATTTAAAGGTTGGTCTTGATACATTTCTATTTCTCCATTTGCATAGCAATTTCAGTTTCTTTTTTATGGGAAAGGTTAGACTTGGACAGGAGGTTTTCTTGAAAAAGCAGTGCTTCCAACAATCTGAAACAATTTGAGC